GAGGATCACTCAGCTGCCTCCAGACATTTTTTTGCTGTTATAAACATCTCTGTGCACTTGGCCTGTTTTGAAGCCACCCTTCCTCTCCTGGTACTCACTGTATCCTGTACTTAGCAACTTGCTGCAGGTAGATTCACCACCAAGCTCTTTATACCGTCAAAAGCAACCATTGCCGGGGATTTCTGCAATCGAGGCCGCAGGGTAAAGGAAAGGCATTCGGCCAAGCCCTGAGCAACAGGTGTCAGACACTAGGTGAGGAACAGAGGTAAGAAGTCAGGGGTTCCGTGCCCAGGGAACTGGGTCTGTTAGGAAGCCAAGACCAATGGCTGCAGAATAAGTCAGAGATCCAGGAAGGGGTGGTAGTCACTGGCAGTGAAGTAGAGGCCACCCGAGGGTTGTGGGAAGAGCTGGGTCCGCCTTGAGTCTGAGCTCTCACAGTTTTAGCTCCCTCACAAAATATGAAGCACCTCCCCAAAGAAAACCAAAGCCACCTGATTGCCTTCCAAATGCCTGGACTCCACTCACCTGAGCCCAGGGCTGGCTGGTTTCCTCCTACACAACGTGAGGCCTTACTTTATAGGTGAAATCACATTTGTCATCACTCCAGTGTCCCTCTACAGCCCCAGAGAGAAACCAGAACATAAAATTATCAGCCACAAATTATCTCCCAGCAAGATGGACCCACACAGGCCTCAGAGATGTTCCAAGGCATTGATTGCTACTGTCCTTGGGAGGAAGAAGGGCTGAGCGAAGCTCTCAGGACAGGGAGAGCAGCGGGGGGTTGGTCCCCTCTGATTCTTTGAAACCCACTGGTCAGTGATACTTTTGGTTTCTATTAGGGTAAGTTAGTGTAAAATAGAAACAGAAAGCAATGATCCACTTCCTGCTTCCCCTTGGCTTTATTCACAGCTGGCCAGGGTGGACTCCCCCTGTACAGGACCCAGAGGTCTCACTGTCTACTCGGTGAGACAGAGGCTTCAGATACACGTAAAAGGCACAGGAGCGGAGAGCTGAGGCTCCGTGTTCAAATCCCAGGGGTGCCTCATCCCCGCACTGCAAGCAAGTCTCCTCATTTCTATAAGCGTTGATGTTACCTCAGTTTTCTCAACTGTAAAATGGGAATAATGCCACCCACTTCATGAGATTGACTGGAAGTGCATGTGTAAATCACTGAGGCTAGGGCCTGGAGAAAAATAAGCTCCACAACAAAACAGCATTCCGTTCATTGTTACCTTTGCACTTAGCAGAGCTCCTCACAGCCAATTCCCACCTCCCGGTTCCCCCAGGGCTGTCAGGGCTGTCAGGGCTGCGCCCCCAGCGCTTCCTTTCCCCGGACTCCCTCGGCACACAGGGTGGGACCTGCGAGGTCTGTTTCCTCTACACCTCCTTTGGGGACAGACACATGCCAGGTGCTCAGGAAATGTTTGTGGACCTCCTGGGGAGGGGTCTAGGGCATTGCCCCCCAGTTTGTGAGAATAATGAGGGGCTCTGTCCTCGGCCCTTCCGACTTCTCTGCTCTCCTAGGCTCTGTGCTGCAGGAGAACATCCAGAGCCCAGACCAGTATTTGCAGTAGTCAGGACAGACGGACGGAGCTGGGGTACCTGGCAGGACACCCCTGCTGCTCTGGAGACACAGGTTCTTCTTCACACGGCAGAGGCTGTGACAGCTGCCTCGTGAGGGGCTCCCTGGACACCCGTTTGTCCAGGCGACCATCTCGTCCTGTGCCCTGCATTCGCTCACTCACAGGACAGCAAGTGAGTGTCATCACCGTGTGCCCTGCATCCAGGCACTGAGCAGATACGAGGGAAACAAAGTCAAGAGGGCATTGTCCTGCTCGAGAAAGGCCCCGGTCCGGGGGAGCAGAAGAGGAAGGTCACAAGGACAGAGGCAAGGCGATTACTGGTGACAGGAAGACAGAGGAGCTTGGGGGTTGAGGGCACAGGCTCTGGAGTACACAAATCCCAGCCCTGCATGGTGCTAGCTGCGTGACGTTGGGGCAAGTTATCCACCTCCAAGTCTCAGTTCGCCCGTCTATAAAATGATTAGGACTCACAAGATCCGGAGGAGTAAGTCAGGTGTGTAGACTCCCTTGTATACAGCAGGCACTCAGTAAAGACAAGATGTGTTATTGCTCTGACTACCCCGTGCTCCCACCTTCACACCTGAAACCAAACCCCAGCAAACCCTTCCCCTGGCTCCCAGGTGAGCAACCCCTGCTGCCCCCATACCTAGGGCATCTGTGGGTCCCCCACACTTTTCCTCTCTCTGACTTTAGATCATTTGGGACAGTAGCTCAGAAAAAGTCCCCAAAGAAGACTTTTCTGACTAGCAAATGAACAGCCAATGACCATTACTTTAGAATGAAATTTTTAGCTGGCCATGGTAGCGCACGCCTATAATCCCAGCGGCTCAGGAGGCTGAGGCAGGAGGATTACAAGTTCAAGGTCAGTTTCAGCAATTTAGCAAGGCCCTGAGCAATTTAGTGAGTGCCTGTCTCAAAATAAAATATTAAAGCAAAGGGCTGAGGGTGGGACTCAGTGGTAGAGCACCCCTGGGTTCAATCCCTGGTTAAAAAAAAAAAAAAAAAGGACGGGGAAAGGCAAGGAGACATTTGGTCAATCAACTAGCATTAAGGGAAGTCAAAGATGAGTTTCAACATAGAATGAAATTTCTAAAACACCTCTTGCCCCTATGATTATATATTTCCTCTTTATTCATCCCAATACCTGCTTCTTATGGCAGCTTTTGGAATATAACTAGGCTCAGTGGAGGCCAGGCTCCACTCAGACCCTCCCAGGAAGACCCCACAACCTGCTCTGGTTGTGCGTTCTGATGTTATCATCCTTTGTGACCCGAGGTTTTTCCAGAACTGTGGTTGCAACTCATTTTCCCCTTTTCCAGGGTGAGCTTTATCTCTTGCAAAGATAAAGATAACCTCTTGAATCCTGAGGTTAAAATGCTCCTTGTGAGACACGCACATGATGTTAAATGTGGTTCTCTCTGGACTTAAGATCACAGATGTCCTATTGTTGACATTATTGTGTTTTTGGCCTCTGTTTTGTCTCTGCCCTCCCCGCTCACGAGCTCTCCGTAGCACCCTTCAGTTGCTCTGCCCTCTTTCCACGTCCTCTTAGTTTCATCCGGAGGTCGATGACTTGGTTTCTCTGTATGTCAGTCCAATGACATAAAGAAATAAGGAGGAAGTATAGGGCAGGGCATGTGACCAGGACCTTGGCAACCTGCCGGGGGGCACTCAGACCCCAAGCGGGGCCGTGGGCCACCAGCCGGCAATCTTTCCCCCAAAGTACTTTTATCCATCCTTTATTTCCAGACTCTTCGAGTTTTCTATATTAGTAGTACGTGAGATCCTGAAAGAGACTACCTTCATTTTGGTCACCCAGAGAATGCCATTTTTGGTGACATCAAAAGCAATTGCGGTCCCATGCCAAAGAGTCACCAGTGAGGGCGATTTATATCTGCAAAGGCTGATCAGTCCCCTGAGTCCAGGAGAGGCCACGGGAGATGATGCCCCTGTTCCCAAGCACAGATCCCGGGAAACACTGATTCACACGCTCCACTCTGCATTCGCTCAGGTGCCATGGCAACGAGGCCCTTCAGAGCAGATGGTAGTGCCGACTGCCTGTCATGTGGCACCTCTTCTGGCAGGCCAGGCCGCCTCTCCAAGCAGGCTTGCCTCTGTCCAGCAGGCAGGGAGTGACTCCTGGTAACTATGTACACGGGGCAAAATATGCCCAGAGCCAGCAGATGGCAGGGCCCAGCCGAGATGTGGGAAGAGGGGAGGGCTGGTTTGGGCTGAGTCAGAGGCAGGGACAGCGGACAGCTCCTGAGGGGGCAGGAACAAGTCAAAACCTCACACACGCTGCTGCCTGGCCTCAGCTCGTCTGGGAGGCTGGGGAACAAACTGAGCAGGAGCCAAGCCAAAAACATCAGAAGCTTCGACAAATAACACTGGACAGTCTCAGCCTCCCTCCTCCGGGGGAGGCGATGGACACTCCCAGCAGAGGGCAACTGCTGGTGCCCCCAGCATCCTCAGCTCTCATTGTCTTTGTGCAAATCTCTGGTGGGGCCAAGCCAGAGCCTCTCACTGCAAAAGAAGCAGCTCCAAAGCTCCAGGGTAAACCCTCCACCAAGATGGCGGACAGGTGAGGGGCTCCTGAGGTGGGGAGCAGGGCCCACATCTTTGCCAACTGTATCCTTCACGTGACCCTGAGCTTGATACCCAACAGGCAAATGGAGGCATCTGTTGGGACAGATTGAAAGAGTACGTGACGCAAATCCAACAGAGTGACCTTTACCCGTGACTTGGGGTGTGTACGTTTTTTGCTACAGGATGCTGGTTACAGAACATTTGGTGAGACATCCCGAGCCATGACAGTGAAATTCTGACGTACTTAGCCCAGAGTGATAAACGGGTGTTTCATTTCCTGCTTTGGAATTCTTTCCAGTCACAAGACCCTCCGTGTCTCCCAGGCCCATGGCCAAAGTTTGAACAGAATGACAGGCACTCGTGCCCGCCCATAGGGATGGCAGCATTCACTTGTCCAAAGGAGGGTATTTGGATTTGGAGTGTTTTCTTCTTCCCCTCCTTCTTCGCAAGATTTCCTCTCACCAGGGAGATTTTGAGAAGGTGCCCATCTGCAGTGACAAACGTCCATCCTAGGCAGGCCCTGAACACCAATATCAGCACTGTCACCAATAATCTGGAGATCCAATTGCACCAAAGGCCAAGAATCTGAGAGACACACTTGCTCGCAAAATGCACTAGGACATCAGGGTTGGGCACCTTCTGGAGAATCATTAGAAGCTACAGGCTAGAGAAGTCAGACAAATGATTACCAGAAAGAATACATTTTCTGTTTCCATTTTTATTGGGAACCTCAAAGAAAAGGAAGAGAGACGGATTGACTCCTGAGACAATCCCTGATGCAGAATCACAAAGCGCTGGGAATTCTGGGTGTTGAATGGGGGACCATGACCCTCAGCAAATTAGTCCAAAATCAAAGGCGTTAGGGTTGTTCTGGAAATAGAGATTCAAGAAGCCCAGGAAAATGTTCTTATCCATGAGCAGAGCACAGACTGTGGGGTCCTGCTTCATAGCTGATATCCAGAGCCGTAACGTTGGGGTGTGATTCACACAACTGCAAGACAGGAAAGAGGGGTCAGCACGTCCCACAGGGAAGACACTGGGAAGAGGGACACTTATTATTGCCTTTTAAATTTGCAAGAAAGCAGAAAAATGAGTTTCTTGGGGGAATATGGTTAATACAGTTATCATATTTAAAGTGAACATAATCACTTAACTGAAGAAAAATTTTCTTTTTTAAATAGTTGTACACGTTTTGGAATTGCAGAATCTGTTGCTTCTAACAATACAGGGGGATACTTGTGGACTGAGGCTCTGGGGAAATAAAGTGTCTATTTCCTTGTTTACTAACAAAAAATAGAAAACATTCTTAGGTCATTTGCAGATTTTACTTCAGGGAGTTTGAAAAAGATAAAAACAGTAGTTTCCAAAAATACTTTTTAAGTGAATAAAACAATCCTGAGACTTGAAATAATGGAGATACTGAGGGCCCTGTTATGGTTTGGATGTGAGGGGTCCCCAAATGCTCATGTGGGAGATAGTGCAAGAAGGTTCAGAGGAGAAGTGATTGGGTTGTTAAGAGTCTTAACCCAATCAGTGATTTAATCCCCCGATAGGGATTAACTGAAGTGGTGGGGTGTGGCTGGAGGAGGTGGGAATTGGGACATGGCCTTGGTGTATATATTTGTATCTAGAAAGTGAAGTCTCTCTCTCTCTCTCTGCTTCTGGATCACCATGTGAGCTGCTTCTCTCTGCTACACTCTTACATCATGATGTCCTGCCTCACCTCGAGCCCTGAGGAATGGAGCTGGCCTTCTATGGACTAAGACCTCTGAAACCAAGAGTCCTCAAATAAATTCTTCCTCCTCTACAGTTATGCTGGTCGGATCCTTTAGTCACAGCAGCAAAAGAGCTGACGAAAACAGGCCCTCTAAAGATGGATCACGGAATTTAGGTCGAGGGCAAGCAGGGTGACATACTATGGTAACATTTGGCTAGGGACAGTCCAGGACTGATGGTGAACCTTCCTGATCTAGAATTCAATGCTCTGTCTTTGGAGGAGACAGGTTCTTATCGTTTACATGTTGGAGTTGAGTTTGAATATCCAAGTTGGTTCTGTTACTGATTTCCAAACATCAGAAATGTCCAGCACCCTCCCTGCATCTGGCAGGATTAACATGAGTCCTAAGCCTATCCAACATCTCTCTGAGCTTTGGGGTGACAAAGCCTGTGTTCTGCTCAGGATGCTACAGAGCTATTATTTCTTTGGCCTTAAACATCCCTACCCTTCTGTGGAATGTGGTTGTGATTTTGTACATGCATTTAAACATTAATCAGGTGTTCCTTTTAAAAGTTATATTCCTGGGCTGGGGTTGTGGCTTAGTGGTAGAGTGCTCGCCTAGCACACGTGAGGCACTGGGTTCAAACCTCAGCACCACATTAAAAAAATTAAATAAAATAAAGATATTAAAAATATATTAATAAATAAAAATGATATTCCTATCTGGGGGAAGATTCCTCATAGACATGAGATGTAACTCGGGTGTGTGGTAACTGCTGGGCAATGCAGCAGGACGAGATGGACTGGGCAGGACAGCAGGCTGTGAAGCGCTACAGGAGGCTTTTGCATACAGGGTCTCCCCACAGAGATGCAAGCAACACCTGAGTCTGCAGGTGGTGGGAGGAAAGCCCAGGTGCATCTGGAACAAGGACACGCACATGGGTAGCTTGAAAACCTGCTTTGGTTTTATACATCCTGGGACGCCCCCACAAGGGGAGGTACTGGCACATAGACCATCTCAAACATTGTCACTCAGTGTATATGCCACCACATGGTCGAGGGTCTTACTCAGCTATCCCATACACATCCAGCCGCTCAAACCAGGGCCAGAGGAGGTAATCGATCATGGATATGTGGTCCCCACCAAAGAAGGTGGTGTTCTGATAGTCCAGAATCTAGAAAGGCAAACAGAACAAAAGCACGTTAATTCACAGCTCTGCCGGCATATTTCTAGACATTAAATATAAATATCAGATACATTCCCAAAGAGGGAGATGGAGGATTCAATTCTTCTTCCCATTTTTAGGAGACTGTCTCTTCCCTTTTCCTGAGGTTTCTTCCACCTCCTCTAGGGCCACACTCCTGGCTGCATTCTGTCCCCTCCCTCCTTCCAACACTGGAATGACAGTGTAACTCAAGTGACTGGAGAATCTGGACAGACAACCAGTGGCTCCCCCAGTCTGGAGCAGGCTGCTCCAGGTGCTGGGCTTCCACACACCAGCTGGGTCCAGAGCGGGAGGCCCAGCCTCAGCCCAGAGCTGCCCGTGACCTGGAGGCCTGGGAGCCTCAGCCTGATGCTGAAGGCATCGTCAGGAACCCCACTTGCTGTAGTTCTGAACCCCATTCCCAGCATGCTCTTCTCTATGACAAAAGGCATTCGTAGCCTTCCTACCGCTCACTCTTTCACCTTCTCAATCAGTTCAAAGCCACGGCAGGAAGAGCAGCTCCCTCAAATCCCAGCATTATCCATCATTCTTTTATTTGAGTTCTCTGAACTTCACACTCTGTCCCCTCAACATTATCAATATCTGCATTAAAATAAAATTTCTCTTTCCTAAATGGGACAAATCAACACAGGTAGATAGATTCTACTGAAAACAGATACCCTCTCAACAGACAGATCATCAAAGACAGATGAAAGAAAGCACCTGAAAACCCTAAAAAGCAAACACACTTGGCGAGGTTGTCATTGGGCCAGCTCTTCCTGGTGTCCGTTACCTGGCTGAATCAAGCAACCACTCGCTTTGGCCTACACAGCTCATAACCAGAGATCCGTCCCCCAGCTGGGGCTTAGAATGTGGCCCAGGTGACTCAAAGACGTAAGCTCTGTGGTGTTTCCATCTTGAGACGTTGGGGCTGTAGTGAGGGACAGAGGGTTACTAAGAGGTGTCCTGTAAATTAGGTACCTGGTATGAATGGCACCATCAAGGACACACTCCAGGCCTGCTTGCTCTCTTGGCTGGGGCATGGTGATGGCTTGTAGCTAAGAAGGGAAGCTCTAGAGCCCCCAGACCTTGTCCTGTAATAGGCTTTACCTCTGATCTAACATGGAACTCAGAGCAACTTACCTCCTTTCTCCTCTAAGCCTCAAAGTCCTCATCTATAAAATGGTGGGGATGTCAGAGGTTCTGGTGAGGGAATGACATAACATGCATGGAAACCCGCCTGACACTGCTCGGTGAATAAGAGCAAGACCCCTCATTCTGCATCCACAGAAATCAAGTAAATACCTCCTGCCAAAAGATCATGAGCTCTCTATATGCTTCCCCTTCTCAGAGGGGAAAGAAAGTCTTGATGCCCTAAAGTCTAAGTCTTGATATTTCCCAGTGGGCATAGAGAGATCCCCTGGATTGTTGTCCTGAAAGTCTGGATAAATGTTAGGTGGTAACACTTGTTCAAGGAGGCTAACAGAACAGCATGAAGACAGCAGAAGCTACGCAATGAAAAACCCAAAGGTGTCCTCGGTCACATATAAACAAGATCTGGCTTAGAGGGGAAAGAAGCAAATATATCAGTGTTTATAGATTCCAGCAGGCTCGAAACTCCCTTTGTGTCCAGGAATAGATAATAAGTGTCTAAACTCTGTGTGTGTGTGTGTGTTTTGTTTGTTTGTTTTAGGTACTGGGAATTGTACTCAGGGACACTTAACCCCATCCCTTTTTTTTTTAACGTTTTATTCTGAGACAGGGTCTCACTAAATTGCTCCCTCGATAAGTTGTTGAGGCTGGCCTTAGACTTCTGATCCTCCTGACTCAGCCTCCTTAGTCACTGGGTTTCAGGTATGCACCACTGCACCCAGCTAAATACCCAAACTTTTATCACTGATTTTGGAATGAAGAGCCACAACTTGTTATTGGACTCATGGCACAAATGAAAACCAAATATAAACCACTGGACTCTGGAACAACTGTATAATTCTTCTGCTTTACAGAGCAGGATGTTCTTGGAAAAGACCTTGTTAAGCAAATCAGACAAAGACATTTAATGGAATCAGGTGGGTCCTTTGATAAAATGATGATATAATTTCACAAATGAATTGCTGCTTAGTAATTGATAATTGTTCAATATATATTTCTAAAGCTTTCTATTTATTTACTCAGAGTAGGAGCATGCCTTGAAATATATGATCTTATAGACATTATATAAATACTCATAAAGTAATACAAGCAATAATCAAGCACTCAGCACAGTAAAGTCAACATGAGCCAGGCATGGTGGCACACTCCTGTAATTCCAGTTACTTGGGAGGCTGAGAAGGCAGGACTACAAGTTTAAGCTGAGCCTAGGCGATTTAGTGACCCTGTCTCGAAATTTTAAAATGGCTGGGAACATGGCTCATTGGTAGAGGGTTTGCCTAGCATGTGCGAGGCCCTGGGTTCAATTCTCAGTACCAGGGAGGGTGGAATCCATGTGAGCTAATGGATAAAATAGATCAACTGCCCTTCACCCGGCCCTCAAAGAGCAATATACGTACCCTCAGCTCTCTGGGAGCCGGCGATAACTTGACCCACCCACATCAAAACTGCCGGAACTCTCAATACAGTGCCAGATTATTTTTGTTTTTATTTTCTTTTTTAGTTCTGTGGGCAGAAAATGGCCTCATACATGCTGGGTAAGTGCTCTGCTACTGAGCCCCCCACTCCACTGCTGCAGACCTTTGAACCTGCCCCAGACAGCATTTCCCAATTTTAAGCAAATCTAAAAATTTCTACAGAAAACTGTCTCCCCATCAACTAGCACAGAGTTCTGCCTTCTTTACTGATGCATCTCAGGGTTGGCCAGGCCTCCTTGGAGGATTCTTGCAATTCTTTAGGACTCCCAATAGGAGAGCTCTCTTCTATACAAACCTGGTACTTTTCAGACGTTTAAAATTATCTTAGAGTCCCAGACATTGTGAGGGAAGCATTTTGCAAAAAAGGCATTTGAGGTTCTGGAATACTACAAAAATCTATTTTAAAATGTTCTGTTTTCCAAATCACTTAAAAATAAGGCTACAGACTTAATGAGGGAAAACTAGTGAGCAATACCCACAAAGAAGGAAGGCCTTTTTGGCATGAGGAAGGTGCACTCTTCCTTCCCACCCTCTGAACCTGAAAGGCCTGGCTGGAAAAGCCCCTGTCTTCTTCCAGGCCTCTCGGGCGCCCCCAGCGGGAGGAAGATTGAAAGTCAGTCCTTCGAGGTCCACAGGAGCAAGAGCGGCGGAGGAAGCACTCGGGTCTCCCTCTAGTGGTCATCAGTGGAGCGGCGCAGTGGCCGTGCCTCCCTCCCGTAGGTTCAAAGGAAGGAAAAAGAAATCTGCAATGCTTTCAAGACTGAAGCAAACTCATAAAAGAGAAGCGAACCCCAGACTTTTTAAATCAAGACAATGTTAAGAAAAGAAAACCTCCAGATTAAGATCTCAGACTCTCAGTTGCAGCCTCAATAACTGAGCTTCAAACCTTGAAGGGGCTGCCTGCCCTTTACCATCATCATTAACAGAAATCTGCAGCCTTATGGTCATTGTGGTAGGCTCTCCCTCCTCCTCCTCCTCCTCCTCATCATCATCATCATCATCATCATCATCATCATCATCTTTGGTACAGGAGATTGAGCCCAGTGGAGCTTTACCACTGAGCCACATCCCCACCCAGCCCTTTTAAATTTTTTTTTTTTTTAAATTTTGAGACAAGGTCTGGATAAGTTGCTTAGGGCCTCGCTAAATTGCTGAGGCTGGCTTTGAACCTGTGATCCTCCTGCCTCAGCCTCCAGAGTCGCTGGGATTACAGGTGTGTACACCCAGCAGGAAATTATTCTTAAGAAGAAGACCCCCTCCCCAAAACATGAAGCCACCTACCAGTATGTGAGCAGTACAATACAAGCCCTTATCCAGATGCCGCAGCAAAGCACTCAATTTTTTTTCCCATAAATCTTTTGAGTTCATAAAAGGTAAGTGAAAATTCTCAAGATGTCAAATTCAGGTCCCTGCTACACTGAGACAGCTGAGGATCCAATGAACAGAGTCTCAGTAAAATGAATCATTTTCTCCTCTAGGAAACAGCCTTAGAAGTAGGGTTTATGCAGAACCTGCCCCTCCTGCTGCCCCTCAGTTACCATCAAGATTGTCCCATGAAGATGCAGAATACAACCTGTCAACATTTGGAGCTTAAAGGGGCACTGAAAATTCTATCCTGTAATCCTTTTAATGGCCCTAATTATTTTGTTCAAAAATCTGGATAAGGGCTTGTATTGTACTGTAACACTAGGTAATGCCAGTCAAATTCTGTAAAGTGATGAATAGCATATGCAAATTTGGCGAATATTTATCACCTCTCTGAAGGGGGAGGGATTTCTATGCATAATATCAGTGGAAAAAAGCATACCAGGAAAGACTTACAGCAAAATATTTTTAAATGTTACATTTCTATATACATAAAAGAGATAAATTAAAAGTTAAAGTAAAAAACATGTTTTAAAACAAGTAGATTTTATACATAAGGAACTCTTTTAAAGGAACTACTACAAATCCACAAGGAACATCAATAAGGTCTTGAGAGACAGATGGACAACATCCTGGAAGAGACAATCTTCACAAAACCAAACACAAAGCAATGACATACTTTGGGGAAACCTCCCACTTCAGACGCAATCAAAGTAATACAAAGGACTGAGAGTATAGCTAAATGGTAGAGTGCTTGCCTTGAACGTGCAGGGCCCTGGGTTCATTTCCCCAGTACAGTGTGTGTGTGTGTGTGTGTGTGTGTGCGCGCGCGCGTTTGTGTAAAGTCAAAAAAGGAGAAATTGCTATTTAGCTCTCTAAAACAAGCAAGTATCTTCGTGAATGAAATCTCCAAAGGAGATGGTACCTGGAGCATTCTCATACACTGCTTGGAGAGTGGTGTAAACGTCACACATCACA